CATACACATGTCCTGTTCAGTGCGACTTAAGCATGCTTTTGGAGAGTTTACCCAGCTGGGGCCTGGAACACCAGCTACTCTCAAATCCTTTCAAAAAAACCCTTTTCTTTCTGCTTGCAGAGATGCCAAGGAGCAGAGGTAGAACCTAGACTTAATGTCACAGAAACAGACAGTAGTCCGTGCATTTTAATATACAGAGAAAACACATAAAGCTAGTTTTTAAGCTGTGATTTGTGGCTTGAGGTAAACTAGATAATTTTACGTTTAAAACAAATTACCAATTTGGGAACAGCCTACACATTTCTACAAAATAAACCTCATCAGAAAGTATTTTTAAATGACTTACATGTTTCGGATGTCAGGGAAACCGAGAGGAAGGTAGATAGGAAGATCAAATGTACATACCCCATCATATTTCTAAACCAAAAAGAAAAACATTGATATCTCAGAATATACTCTGACTGCATCAGTTATGCTATTGCCATGGTACTGATGTACATCTACCAGCAGATAATGGTATCATGGAGTGACAAACTGTGTCATGTGAGCTGCTCTGTACAGAGTGTGTGAGTGTGTGTAGCAGTGGTTTTGCAGCTTTGAGATGATGCTCTTTGTTCTATAATCAATGCAATAGTTGATGTTCCATTGAAACTACTACTATGACTTAGTTTAACGTGGGTGGGGGAATTACTCTGCCATGGTGGGCGTCTGACAGAAGCCTCTTCTTGCTTGGTTGCTTTTTTTTTTTAAGGAAGCTAAATGTACGCTGGCATTCTCTTCATAGCCAAGTGTGGAAAAATTATACCTCAATTTAGAAAAGGATGGATCCTGGATTTGAAAATATATACTCTGGCTTTGAATTAAGCTTACATCCAATCAACTGCTTAGGTGCACAACACCTTTTTGGCTTTCTATGGAAGTGGAGGTATCTTCAGTGACAGCTTCTCTAGGTAAGTGTTTTGCAGTAAGAACAAACCAGGTGAGTGCCATCAGCAAGGCTAACCTGAAGGAGAACTGAAGAAATGGACTGGAAAGATAGGTAAAGGAACATATATTGTAGTCCTGTAACAGCAGCAGGGCAGATCCCGTGCCTCACTGATGTTTTCATTTGTGTCTAATTGATACGCACCTGCTGTAATTCACACCGCACCGTGTGGCTCAGGCACTCTCCAGCAAACCACTTTACTAAAGAAACTGGCTATTTGTCCGTGGACATTAAGTTGACCTAATCTAGGAATATCTCAGGAGACAGCAGACATGCAATCCAGCTATACTACGCAGCTGTAAGCATTCCACTTACCATTAAAAAACCCTTCACTTGAATGGTGTCCTTCACTGCAGATCACAGAGCGGTGGGTTCTGCTACCGTGTATGAGGAAGAAGCAGTCCCATGGTTCCACAGATAGAAGATAAGTTTTCAAGAGAAACCAAGTTAGAAACAAATCATAATTTATCTTGCAGATAGTGAGCACAAGAGGAGTAGTGAAAAATAGGCAAGAAATGCACAGGCAGGGTAAGTACTGTCATCACACAGACTGCAAGGGATTTTTATTTCAGTGCCAAAGATTTCCAGACTAAAAAAACATTGACAGACCTTATCAAGACCTACATTTGCGCCAAGTCTGAAATTCAGAACAAACTTGATTTTGAGCTTTCAGAAATGTCATCAGCTTTGTATTGATATGGAAAATTTCTTCTTTTAGAAGGTTTAATAACATCCAGAGGCTTATTCTTAAACTCTTAAAAATAATAACAAAACTTAGTGTTGGAAGAGAAAAGCATGAGAATTTGAGTGTAGGTATTTTGCAGGGATACTCACAAATCACAGAAAAGATGAGGTCTAGACTGAAAAAGCAGCATCCCAGCATTAATGTCACAGCAAGGCTGGTGCCATGCCTTTTACGGGAAGCGAGTGACCAGCCAGGAGCTCCTAGAAACAATGTGCGTGAGGAGCTGCTGGCTTTCATTAGAGCTGGAGAAAAGCACCACGTACAAGCGCATGCAGTCTATTGCCTTCTTGAATTTTAAGGAAATCTTAGGCCAGGTTAATAGATTTTTAGAAGGTACTTTTCAGCACAACAAACATCAGGAGTTTTGCCCTGATGAATGAGTGGGCCCAGAAGAGGGTTCAGGAGTGACCTGGGACAGGGTAGGCCTTCAGGGAAGAAAGATACAGAGCAAAACAGCACACAACGAAATTCACGCATCAACCCAGCAAAGCATTTGTCTTTGTTCATCCTTTAGAGCAGAAGGCTTGTTCCTAGAACTTACTTTTGACACTACCAGGGAGCAAACTAGATTGGCAGGTGGGGATGGGGAGCTGAGTTTCACATACCCTGATTATCAAAGGCCTAGACCCAATTCAGGACTTAAACAGATTTGTATTCGCCAGCAACTCTGTTGACTTCACTCATCAGCTAAGGTCTACTTTGATCACAGTTGAAAAATGATATGGGGACTCATGGCTCCATATTCTCCTGAGAAAGAAAAGGGAGGTGCAAATGCCCTGCGTATATTTGGAAACAAATTCACTATTCAGCTGATATGAGCAACATTTGATAGATACATGGTGCCTAATCTCCTGAACAGCACATCAGGAGCAAGTGGTGAAAGTTTCTCTGGCATACTGCAGTGAGCACCTCATTTCCACAGTCCATGAGATATCTATTCGTTCCATTTCTGTCTCTCTGGGTACAATCGAAACACTGCCATCTAGCTCTAATCTTCCTGAGAACTGATTTTGTTTGACTTTGTTTCACTGAGCCTTGTTATGGTCTAGATCTGCTCTAAAACACCGGTTCATTCTCTGCACTAATTTCCACTCTAGTTAACTGTCTTTCACTACCTGTTACTGCACCTAATCTTACTGGTTCAAATCAGCTTTGGTTAGCCTATGTCTCACTTGTTTTTTCTCACAGAAATTACTTTTTTCACTTGCAGCTCAGAAGAGCCATTATTGATCGTTCCCAATAATTCACCATCTCCAGATACTTGTGACTTTGCTACTTAGCACTGGCTTACGCAGAGGAGACCTTTTCTTCCTAAAAGGTCCTTCTGTCCAGCCAGACGGCCAGTATTGCAAGCTGACTTCAAACTGTTTGGTACCCACATACATTTGGAATGGCTCACTTGTTGGGGCGAGGGACTGACTGACACGTCTTGGGACTGCAGCAGGGTATATATACAGTCAGAACTAGCGGTGTAGCAAGGGAAGGTGAATCCCTCCAAAGGGTATTTATGCGGCCTTCCGGAGCACTGTGCCATCAGATGCTGAATGCCTACAGCGTGCAAAATACATGTATGTGTATGCACATAAGCAAACGTGATATGCAAAACACTAGCTGCAGCAGGGCTATTTCATACAACTGAGATTGGACACATCTATATCAACTGAGTCTCCACAGTGAAGTCTCCAAACAGACCCTAAGAACCAGCTAAGTGAAGAACTCTAAGCTGAATAACAAATGAAATTTAATATCATTAGATTATTTGAGTAATTAAATAGACATAAAAAAATATTCAGAATATTCCTTCTCTGCTGGGAGCCTTTTCCCTCCAAGTGTTTGGTTCTGTTCTACAAACGTATTTGCCCCCAGTGAGGTATGCCAGCAATTATACTAACTGTCCTACTACTTTTTAGAGCTATTTTGTTTAAGCAAGCAGATACTTCAGCATGAAGACAAAAAGTGAAGTGATGGATTTTTAAGGCAAATCAGTTTCATAGACTAGATTTGAAGACTGTCTGAAATGAGGTTTTTTCTCATTTGATATTTTATTTGTATGTCTCTATTTTGTATTTGGCCACAACTGATACCACTGTTGGAGATACTGGTGAGTCCCTTATTGCCAGTGTTATCGCAACCCTAGAAATGGAAGGCTGGTGATTAACAAAAAGTTGCAAGGAGCTATGCTTTCTCTGTTTTTGAGAATCAGCTTAGTCCAGGAATGGAGACAGCCGATTACTTGCCCTCACCAACTCTTCTAACAAGCACCACACTGATCCAGGAGTAAGAAATTTGTATTTGCCTACCATTGTACTTGCCAGTTGTTGTATTTAGCCTTCTGTTTCTTGAAAAAGTATGTCTTCGAGAGACCTTACACATACTGGGCTACCAGCCTGCACCAAAACAGCGCAAAATAGTTGTGCTGAAAGGACAGATTCTCCATGCCTGACTTTGATGATTGCTTTATTGATTTTCCCCCCATTTTTAAGTTGCTGTGTATTGGCGGAAGTTTAAGTAGAGTTTGGGGTTTGTGTGTGCAAATATGAGCAATATATGGGGCTCTAATTAAAGAGGAATGTTCCCTGAAAATACAAAGAGCTCGGGCAATTAAAAGAACAATGTGATTCTGTTTGCATTTTCCAAAGTCAGCAGCAAACTGCCAAATTACCTCAATAAAAACTGAGGCAGAGGTTGCAGTTCTAGACGGCAAATAGCAAGAGAAGGACTGGTTCACTAGTGCCTTACAACTTGTGGCATTACTCTGAGCAAAGCAAAATGAAAGCATCCACACATCCATGATACGTAGGTCAAATAAAAAGGGTATCATGCGGCACAAGACAAAGGCACCAAGACACCTTGCGTCCCACAATCAAAAGGAAGACGTTCCTGTAGCTTGAATCACTGAGAGACAAAGGCCATAATTTCTGGAAATAGTTATGAGTTTTCTTTCCGCTTTTGCAGATTTATTTAGAACTTATGTTTTATTACATTTATCTGAAGTAAAACCTGCATAACAGCTTTTTGGGTCCTCAGTATACCATAAATTCAGATTGCAAATAATCAGGGGAAAAAAGGTAAGGAGGCATTTTCCATAAATCTCTTTCTTCCTATAGCTCACAGTAACTGTAAGTTATGAGCTTAATTCTAAGCTCTGTGAAGGAAAACTTCAGTATGATGCTGAAAAAGCGCTAGATCCAAATACAGAGATTTGGGATAACTACCTGAGTATGTCAAAACCTAGTGATGGTTTTGACCTATGATCCCTAATGATCCAATATCAAAGGAAGATGAAAGAACTGGGAACCCCCTACTTGTGTTGTGAAAGCAGTAGTCTATAGGGCTTAACTCCTTGCTTCTCCAAAGGCAACTGTGTTAGTAACATATTTGTGATTTTTTTTTCCAAAACCGCATTTGGCAACAAACTGTTTATAGTATTGTTTATGTAAGTGAACAAACGTTATAAAAGTACCATACCTTGCATACTAACAAAACTTGGAAATGTTATTGCAATTTCTACTTTAAAAAGCTTAACAGACTTTACAACGTAAACATAGCATGAAATAGCAGCTGTGTGAGATTTGTTTACTAAGACATAGACTTCATTCTTTCACCTTTTGAAAGTTATTTTCATTCTTTTATTAAACCAGAAAACCCATTCTGACCAAGAATGGGCTATTAAAACAGCAACAGTAACCCTGAACTTATTCCAGAACTAGCACTCACAATAGTTAACACCTACACTAGTTACAGCTGTAAGTGTAAAATTCAGGAATTTCAATATTAAAGTATGGAAATGCTAGAATTGATGTGCACATTATTCTTACAAAACGTTGTGAAGCAAGAAAGTACATAAATATACTAGACTGAAAAATCCATTGCACAGTAAATATTTTCTGTGTCTTTTAATAATTAGTAAAAATATCTGCCAGAAAACTGAGGGCAAATTCATTTCTAAATACACTTCATTATAAGGTAAATATTTACGTTGGTCCCAAAATTATTCGTCTATCATATAAGTGTCCCCACTATTTTAGTCTAATAGTTTTTCTTGAGATAAAGAAGCACGTAAGTGAACTCAAATAAACTTTCTTATTAAATACTTCAGTTATTTTTGGTTAAATGATAATATAAAAGTTTGACCTACCATCTGGAAAATTCAGAAAGCAGAGAAGTGGCTTGCTCTCTGTGGCTGGGTCCTTTGCACTGAATTCTCTGCTGTAGCTTGTACCATGTATTACTGGGAACTCTTTTTAACTGGCTTGTGCAATTCATATCTGTAGGAGCAAGATATACGGCTTCATTTTGAGACACCTCCCACTGAACAGAGCAGAACACACAAATTACTGTAGTAACCTTAAGTACTTATCAGAGGTGACATCTCATAGTTCCAATTAATCAGATATCTTTTACAAATAGCATAGGTTTTCCATTAATGACAAATTATTCCGTTTTAGCATGATTATACTGCAATAAATGTGCTGGCTGGTTATTGGCTTTCTCACACGCCTGGGGAGAACAAAGAAGGGACACTCAGCCGGCAGAGGGTGCTTTGAAACTGATTTTGTTTGAAAACAAGTGACAACTTTGCCTGCTCTAGTCAGGCAGCAGCTCCTGGAGAATAGCTCTAAAAGT